TAACTAATAAAATCTCCATTTCTTTACTTTCCTGAAGGTTCATATGAAGCCTGTGATATCAGCAGTTAATAAACTGCTTATAAATTAGTCTGAATTCATTAATTAATGAATGATAAACTGCTGAAGAAAGCGTGATCATTTCTCTGTATGTCATGAAGCTGCAGATCACCTTCTGTTTCCTCTAAACACCTTCAGATCAGGAGAAGCAACCTGGTGTTCCGTAGAGGCTGAGTCTAGAACAGTGAGGTTCCTGCTCTGACATAACTTGTTCCACAGTCAATGTGTTTGTTCGTGAGTTCCTGAGCTGAACGTAACTCGCAATTAATTAGTCAGAAGTTTGGAAATGCTGATTAATGAAGATCCAGATAGTTGCTGACCTTCTGACCTTCATCAGAGGATGGACGGACGGACAGATGGACAGCTTCAGCACAGTGACGAGCAAATTCTTCACTTTTCTAAACTCAGATTACGCTGAAAAAGTGCAGTAAATTTACTCAGTTCAAATTTTCAGATGTTTTTGCTCAGAGTGAACAGAAACAACACTGACGTTTGAGCTCATTCGCGGTTCTGTTGCGTTGAATTGGATTTTTAGTCCCACTACACTCTTAATAACGGTTCTTTAAGGGTCTTTAATAAGGACAGTGGTTCTACACTCAAACCCTTTGCATGCTTAAATGATTCTCTGCGTGGTGAAATGGTTCTTCAGATTCATGGAGAATGTGTTGGTTCTGTATAGCACCAAAAAGGGTTCTTCTATTGTGTAAAGCCTGTAACAATAGCAGAACCCTTTTTGGTGCTATATAGAACCATCTACAGCACATTCTCCATCAATCTGAAGAACAATTTCACCACGCAGAGAACCATTTAAGCATGCAAAGGGTTCTATAAGTGTCCGTGGTTCTATATATAACCATCAGAGTGTAGAGATCCCTGGTGTGGTCAGTGCAGCGTTTCGGAGACGCTGGTAAATGTAGTTAAGATGCAGCATCAGCAGAGCGAAGACAGAGTTGCTTAGTGACGTTGGTTTCCACGATTAGTTTTATTTCCGGTTCTAAAGCCTTCTGCGCAGGTAGGACACGCCTCGTTACTGTTAAAGCTCATTTACGCTCAACGTTAAATACAGACGGAGCTTCTGTCCGACTCTGCATTCCCTTCGTCCATATTTATGCTCGTTTTCTGAAAGTTTACAGATACAGACGAAACTTCACAGAGTCCACCGTCCACAGCGCCGCCGTCGGTACGTTATTACGGCTCCTCCACCGTCACCATGATTGTTGTCAGAAACTTTTTACTCTGCACTGCCCTCTAGTGGATGTACTGCTTAACATACATGCCAATGTAAAGGACGCGTGGACGTATGTGGACAGTGACGGTCACACCGTTTGAAACGGACGTTCTTTTTCGTACGTGAAGAATATAAACGAACCTTTACGGTGTAATTTCAGTGATTAAGCCGTAAACATCAGCTCCCATCTGCGATTGAGTATTACGGTCATTTCAGTGTGGGAAAGTGTTCGATGAGGCTCGCTAACGTTAGCAAACAGTCTCGGCTCACAGGTCTAAAACCCGAACACAGAGAACCCTAACGAGTTCCTAACGACTCTGTAAGCGCTAACGAGGACGATACGCTCAGCTCACTCAGGCAGCGTTAGAGCCGGAACATCGCCGAACTCCGAAACTCCGGAATCGCATCCGAACTCCTCCTTTAGGCCTCTGTCAACAGACGTTTAGAATCTGTTTTTAAGACAGTGATAAAAACGTGCGGGACATTTTCTAAATGACCAAATGATGGACTGTCTTTTAACCACCACCGCGTTCCTTCCTGCCCACAGAATCCATGTCAAAACAGCGTTAAAACAGCGTTAAAACAGCGTCCGGCAGTCCGTCGTTTAGTTGGATCACATTTTTCTTTTCCGTTGATGGAGCCTGACTTTCTGTAAATATCTGTAAATTATTCTACAAAGAACAGAAATAAATCAGCTTCAGCATCTTTACATTAGAATGATTCAGATTCAGATTCAGATCACAAATCACTGCAATAAAAACTCATCAGCTGCCAGTTTTTCTGAATTATGTAATTAGTGAATGTTTTCACTCAGTAACGACTCCAGATATTAAACCTGTTTGACTTACTGGTTTCTCAGTTCTGTCGACTCTGAGGTGCAGAGGATCCGTTTAGACCTGCTGTCTGATTTCTAAACGAGTCTGAGTCAGATTTAATCGAGTGTTTGAATTGGGGACTGGGTGAGCGAGAGAGATGTGACTGTTTCCTTTCTTTTGAAGTTGAACAGACGAGTGTAAATCAGTGAATGTTGGTCCTGATGACGTTGTGCTGTTTTCTGGGTTTCAGACTGAAAAACAAGATCAAAAATCTGAATTATAAACAAAACAAAAATCTTTTTAGACTGATTTTTATTTTTTACATGTGTGTTTTTTCTGGAATCCCCATGAAGATAAACGGCGTCACTGCTGTAAGAAAACGGTTTTAACCAAAGGAAAAACATCTAACATCTGTTAAAGTGACTTAAATCTGAAAGAATTTCAGTCTAATCATCACAGAATATTCACACTTCTGAAAACTGAGCATGAATAATAAACTGGAGCAAATTCAGCTGTTTAAAGAACAGGATTGTGGGTAAAAGCCTCAAAACTCAACCAAAAATCTGACTTTAATAAGAAACACAAAACAGAAAAACTTTGTTTTATCAAATCTGATTTAAGCCGTTTTTTTGTCTTTTATGGATTATTATGTTTGTTTTTCCCAAACAAAATCCAACAAAGGTAAATAAATAAAAATACAGACAGGAAGTGAAATAACAAGTTTTATTTTTTAATGGTGACAAAATATGTACAAAATATTCTGCAAATACTAAAATAATTGTTTTTTTTCTCTCAAATTTTTGGGAATTTCCCAACAATTTAGAAACATTAATAAACAGAAATAAAGAGTCATAATGAGTCGCTGTATTTATGCTCATTTCTGCACTGATGTCACTGTATGCTAATGAGCCTCTAACGAGTCTGAACTGAATCAGCCCCAGATGTTCCAGATGTTTGGTGGTGTTGGGATGAATGGAGCTCTATTGTGATCCACACCTCTAGGTTTATATCGTCAGTTGTTTCAGAAATAAAGCATCTTTTATTTTCCTTGAATATTTGTTGCTATGGAAACAAACTTTGAAATGGTGCTCGAAATTATTAATTAATTCTACAAACAACAGTAACTTAAACAGCTTAAAGACCAAAAGCTTTTATGTTTTTGTTTTATTCAATATTTCAAGAATTTTGAGATGTTATATTCACTCTTAAAAAGATGGTTCTTTAAGGGTTCTTTACTAAAGACGGTGGTTCTAGAAGACTCAAAGAATCATTTACATGATTAAATGGTTCTCTGCATGGTGAAATGTTTCTCCAGATTGATGGAGAATGTGTTGTTTATGGTTCTATACAGCACCAGAAAGGGTTCTGCTGCTGTTCTACAGTTCTGTTCAGCGTCGAGTTTCATTTCCAGCGTCTTGCTGATCATCTGAGCCCTGCAGGACTAAAGAGAGTCACACTGAATTCACTCCACACTCAGTTTATTTCTCATAAATATGAATCATTTAAAACGATCGTTCCAAATACTTGAACTGCAGAGTGAAAGATTTTACTTATATACTCTGTTACTTTATTATAATGCTATTTATTACTGTAATGTACATTTTCTTGTCTTTATTTGTTCTCATTCTGCCCTCAATGATCTCCACACTGAGGTTCCTCAGATCTGTTATTAATTATTTATTATGTATCTCAGTGATGCTGGTCTCTCAGGAGGCTGCAGTGGGAGCCGAGCTCTGTGACAGGGCTGTGGGTTTCACTGTCTGAATGGTCAGTCTGATTGACCTCAGACGTTCTGTGGGTGTTTAAATGAGTTCAGGTGTTTATGTTGTGAACAGCGCAGGGTGATGCTGAAGGACGTTCCGTCAAGAGCACCGAGGAGGAACCCTGCGTGACCTGCTGCGTCTGCATGGAGAGAAGCGGCCGGCAGGGCTGGAGAGACTGACCGACTCGGAATCACCAAACAACGTCCGTGTTCATCTCCGACAAACACTGAGCGAGGTGACCATCACACTCCATCTGAGAGAACCTGAGAGAGAACAGAGAACACTGAGGAGCTCACAAACAGTGGAGAACCATCTGAGAGGATCCACAGAGAACAACATCTAAACCTCGTTTACAGACTCGACTCTCAGTACGAGCTCAGACGCTCAGCAGGTCAGGAGGTGACAATAGGGAGACAATCTACACCCTGTCTGTCCATCACTCACTCACTCTCTCACTCAGTCAGTCAGTCACTCACTCAGTCACTCACTCAGTCAGTCAGTCAGTCAGTCACTCACTCAGTCACTCACTCACACACTCAGTCAGTCAGTCACTCACTCAGTCACTCGCTCGCTCAGTAACTCAATGACTCACTCATTCAGTCACTCACAATCAGTTGCTCAGTCACTGTCACTCAGTCATTTAGTCACTCACTGTCACTCAGTCATTCACTCAGTCACTCACTCAGTCACTCACCCACTCAGTCACTGTAACTCAGTCATTGTCACTCACTCAGTCAGTCACTCACTCAGTCATTGTCACTCACCCACTCAGTCACTGTCACTCAGTCATTCAGTCACTCACTGTCACTCAGTCATTCACTCAGTCACTCACTCAGTCACTCACCCACTCAGTCACTGTAACTCAGTCATTGTCACTCACTCAGTCAGTCACTCACTCAGTCATTGTCACTCAGTCGGTCATTCAGTCACTCACTCAGTCATTCAGTCACTCACTCAGTATAGAACCCTTTGCAAACAGGTTCTATATAGCACCATCTCAGCACATTCTCAATCAGTCTGAAGAATCTTTCATGATGCAAAAAGAACCCTTTAATCGTGCAGAGCGTTTACGGCTCTATACAGAACTATTTTCTTTACTAAAGAACCCTTGAAGGTGTTCGGTTTTTAACTGTGGGAGCTGTGAAACACGGTACCGTTCAGGGTTCTGAGGAGAAACTCGAGGTTCCGTAACACAGTTCTATTTTTAATCTGCTGAAAACAGAAGAAACTCAGCTAAAACACAGCGCTCTGCGGTACTCCGGAGAACCCACCCCTCCCCCCGCATTCAGGCTCTTCAACATAACAGTCCTAAAACAGCCAAACACTTCTTCTGTTTAAAACACTGAACTGCTTACAGCGCCGCACAGTGGCGCCACAGCACACTGACAGACCGTCCTCTCCTCCTCACTGACTGCCTCTGCGAGACGAGTGATGAGGCAGCGACGCTACAGCTCACATATGTTACGCCATATGTTATTCCAGGTGGTTGCTAGGGTGTTGTTAGATGGTTGGTCTGGTATCTCTGGTGGTTGCTATGGTGTTCCGGGTGGCTGCTAGAGTCCTGTTTGGTGGCTCAGCATCGTTTAGTGGATTTATCAGGTTTAGTATCAGATACTGAACTATTAAAAAAAGGACTTTTTCCAGATAAAAGATACGATGTGACTAGTAACGCTAGCTGAGCTCACAGACGTGATCCGGTGATCCGGTTCTGGGTTTAATTGAATGCATTTAAATGTGATTTTTAAATTCTGTGTCGTCCGCTGTGTCTGACTTTTTCATGGGACTGAATGTTTGTTTTGAGTATTTTTTGAATCATAACTTATAAATTTGAATATCAGATTTGACTAAAACGCCAGTTCCTCATCCTCACATGCAGAACCCAGAGAACAGTGTTAATGTAGGACTGAGAGGCTTAAATGACCGTCAGTGAGAGAGAAAACAGACGCTGTTGAACCTCTGAAGCAGTGACCTCTGCACGACTCCTCAGGACTGGAGCTCTGACCGTGTCCGAGTGTAAAGAGGAAAAGCAGCTTTGAGAAGGACAGTTATTCATCTCATCGGTCAAGAAGTCACGGAGCTCTGGGCTCTCGGAGCGGCCAGTGGCGCGGAGGCTTCCTGAACAAGAGTGGACTTTGTCTTTGGCGGCCGGCTGGCGCGAGCTGAGTGGGCTCTGACCTCTGTGTGTATTCTGGACCAAACGCTGAGCTCAGCCTCTCCCTCGAGACCCCCACAATGAGGCCTCTCAGAGAAGGGTGGGGAGAGAGAGAGAGAGAGAGGGAGAGAGAGGGGGTGGATAGAATGATACATAGAGAGAAAGTGAAGTGAGTTTTCACACTTTATTCACCATCAAATCTGGATTTTCTGTTGTTTTAAAGATCAGATTGATTAACTCAACCTGTCGTCGTGTGGATCAGAGAACGCACAGACCAGAGAACGCACAGACCAACTGCACTCAACATTTCAGACATTAATGAGTTAATTAGCTCAGAAACTCTGAAATGACCAATCTGAGCCTCTAAAGCTTCATGTTTTATTCTGTTACTTTCACTTCCTCTTTGTTTAGGACTCACAGACTTCAACACTCTATTTACAACAACAATAATAATAATAACAACAATAAAATTAACCATTTTTCCTGTTGACCTCATTAACACGAGGAACCCTGAACTCACTGTTACTAACTGATATTAATAATCTGTGCAACGTGATTATAGTTATTTATCTTCATTTGAATTTTGGTCAGAATAATATAAAAGGCAGGTACAGACAGATGGATGAATGGACTGATGGAAAGATAGATAGGTGGATGTATGGAAGGATGGATGGAGGGTAAGAGAGATGGGTGGATGGAGGGTAAGAGAGTGATGGGTGGATGGATGGAGGGTAAGAGAGTGATGGGTGGAGGGTAAGAGTGATGGATGGAGGGTAAGAGAGATGGGTGGATGGATAGAGGGTAAGAGAGATGGGTGGATGGATGGAGGGTAAGAGAGATGGGTGGATGGATGGAGGGTAAGAGAGATGGGTGGATGGATGGAGGGTAAGAGAGATGGGTGGATGGATGGAGGGTAAGAGAGTGATGGGTGGAGGGTAAGAGAGATGGGTGGATGGATGGAGGGTAAGAGAGTGATGGGTGGAGGGTAAGAGAGATGGGTGGATGGATAGAGGGTAAGAGAGATGGGTGGATGGATGGAGGGTAAGAGAGATGGGTGGAGGGTAAGAGAGATGGGTGGATGGATAGAGGGTAAGAGAGATGGGTGGATGGATGGAGGGTAAGAGAGATGGGTGGAGGGTAAGAGAGTGATGGGTGGAGGGTAAGAGAGTGATGGGTGGAGGGTAAGAGAGATGGGTGGATGGATGGAGGGTAAGAGAGATGGGTGGATGGATGGAGGGATAGTCAGGGCTCAGGTAGTCAGGTATACTGATAGGACTTTTATGACTGAAAATTCTGTACTGTTTCGTTTTAAAAGTGCTCTATAAATAATCTGGTCGTCGGTCAGATGGAGTTGAAATAACAGCAAAGACAAACCACAAGATGAGAGCATCGTCTGTGATGTATTACTGCCCGATCCGCTCTCAGTGACCGACATAAAACATCATCATCACCGTAATCGCAGCTCCTTTGTCCTTGTGTCAGTTATGGACTATTAATGATGCAGGAATTTAATATTTCGTGTAATAAATACAGGAAAAGAGCCACATGTGTACAGCTGTTGGACTCAGAGCCAGAAGGGAGGTTTAATCAGCTGGAGTTCAGTAATCCGACCAGCTCTGAGCCAAAGTCTTACCAAACCCCTCTGAGCCTCCAGAGGACAGACGCTTACATCACTGACCGTTAGCCAATCAAGCCTCATCAATCACCAGCAGAACCCAGCGCTCAGTCTTAAAGCCACAGATCAGCCACAACAGGACAGGTCTGCTCTGTGGCTTATTAGCTTATTAGCATTAGCCAATTAGCATGGCGCTAACTGCATGCCTAAATAATCACACTCGCCGCAAACCGTGATGGTGAATCGTTACAAGTATTGACAAACCATTTCTCAGATAAAGAACGTCTTGAGGAAAGTATCTAATTACGAATTACGATTCTGAGTAATATTTCAAATGTGATTTAAAATGTGAATATTTTCTATAAATTAAAGTAAAGCTTGACCGCTTGACTATAATGAGCCAGACAGCCAGTTAGTCGTGGTTGTGATGTCACAACCACACACCACACAATCACGTCTGCTGAGTTTACTGTTAGCTACGTGAGCCTCGTAGCTCCAGAGCTACAACTACAGAAACAGACTTCGGACTCCAAACACGTCTCAGCTGATCGACTACTTTTGCTGAAAGGGAGGAAACTGGAGGAATTACATTTTTCACTTCAGACGAAAACGTTAGAATGATATTTAGTCTCTCAAGTGTTGAGATAATTTATTATCTCACTTATTTTCCTACCAGTTGGTCAAAGTTCTTAACAGCAACAGATTTCAGCGGCTCCTGCTCAGCGCCAAGAAAAGAGTGTCCTGGTTTCACCTGCAGAGAACTAAACTCAATCAGAGCCAACGATGATCTCAGTGTTCCAGCCTGGAGCTCAGTTCACTTTCATTCAGCTCAGCACAAACTTACAAAACAGCCCCATTTACACACACAGATCACTCTCACACACACAGATCACTCTCACTCACACACACACACTCACAGACACACACACACACACACACTCACAGATCACTCTCACACACACACACTCACAGACACACACAGATCACACACACACAGATCACTCACACACACACACTCACACAGATCACACACACACACAGATCACTCTCACACACACACACTCACAGACACACACAGATCACACACACACAGATCACTCACACACACACACTCACACAGATCACACACACACAGATCACTCACACTCACACACACACACAGATCACACACACACACAGATCACTCACACACACACTCACACACACACTCACACACACACAGATCACACACACACAGATCACTCACACACACACATCACACACAGATCACTCACACACACACAGATCACACACACACAGATCACACACACACACACTCACACACACACACACTCACAGACAGATCACTCACACACACACACAGATCACACACACACAGATCACACACACACACACACTCACACACACACACACACACACTCACAGACATCACACACACACACACACACACACTCTCACACACACTCACACACACACAGATCACTCACACACACACTCACAGACACACACAGATCACACACACACAGATCACTCTCTCACACACACACACACACTCAGACACACACACACACACACACACACAGATCACTCACACACAGATCACTCTCTCACACACACACACACACTCAGACACACACACACACACTCACACACACACACACACACAGATCACTCACACACACACACACACACTCACACACACACACACATACGCGATGTGATTTGTTTTGACATGCAGAGTTCCACTTTCCTGAATGAATGTGGTTCTGTATTACTGAGTGATTCTAGCATTTATGAGCCAGTCAGCCCTCAGAGTCTGATCACAACTCCCTGCACAAACACACACAATTCTCCCTCAAACATTACACTTCAGGGGTCTCGGCAAGCTGGTGGCCTTCTCTAAAAGGGGGGCTGTTGAAAAAATGTGGTGAAGAAACACTAATTTAGGTGAATCTTACTCTAATACACTACAGGAAGTGTAGGGGGCGATATGGCTTCTACTGTTTCATTTAAAAAGCTCTATAATGTTCATATGATCCACACAGTCACTCTGACAGACTGTAATACACTACAGGAAGCGTAGGGGGCGATATGGCTTCTACTGTTTCATTTAAAAAGCCTCTATAATGTTCATATGATCCACACAGTCATTCTGACAGACTGTAATACACTACAGGAAGTGTAGGGGGCGATATGGCTTCTACTGTTTCATTTAAATAGTGTTAATGCTCTATAATGCTCATATCTGATTGGGTTAAAAGCGTTGCACAGTGCTAGTAAGTGCTGGATAGAATGATGCTAACCATGCTAACTGCTCCCCATTGACCTTCATTCATTATTAGCAGTGTTAGCAGTGCTAGGTCAAGTATTAGCATAAACAGTCTCACCCTGCAGGAAACGGCATGAGGCACATTGGACAGCACTCCAGTTTTGGTTCTGCTAATCCTGATCCGGATCCTCCTCTGGACGTCCCGGCTCTACACTCACTGTTGTTCTCCAGGAGGGAAACTGCAGATCCAGATCCTCTTACGCCACCATCAGAACCTGTTCTGGACCCTGTCCTGGATTTAGATGACCCAGATTCAGCTTTATCACACTCCACTCTGGATTTTCTTTCAGATTCTCTTCCTGCCAACTTTCCCCCTTGCAGTTTTGTGCTCTCAGCTCCGTCGCCATGGGAACCAGGTGTCTGTTCCACATCCTGACGACCAGGTTTGATCCTCCCTCTCACCCTCGCACCTCCAGATTTCTGAGTTCCTGTCAGTAACCTGCCTCCGCCCCCATCCCGCTTACATTCACCACCCTCAGACCAGTCAGGCTTTTCAGTCCATCTCCGTAACGATGCTGCATCTCCTGAACAGTGAGCCTGAATGTCCTCTAGGTGGCGCTGAGAACTTCTCTGTGTTTGCTGTTCACCTCCCGTTTCACTCAGCAGCTGAGCTGAAGCTTCAGGCTGGTGGTTCCCTTCATTAGGAGAGAAGTGCAGTGCGCTGTGGATTGGGACGCAGCCCAGTAGGTCATTTAGAGCAGGAAGTTCACTCACATCTTCATCCAGACTACACCAGCGCCGCTCGCTCGGCTCCTCTCGCTCTGCTTTCTGAGAGGAGTGAAGAATAGAAACTCCCCTGAGCTCAGATCTTTAAAGGTTCAACAATATTAATATTAAAACAATGTTCATATAAATTAGTGCACCAACAACCATAACACTGCTTCATACTTTTTAAAGGGCGCATGTGCAACACTTTGATTTTGATTTTTTATAATTTATTTCTACATGATATGACACATGATGTTTCTTCCTTACAATTAAAGTTAAACACAGTGAAGCGTGAAACATCCCAGTCTCCATGACGACTTCAGTACGGACTGAATTTCGGACAGTAGCTATTCCAGAATAACAGTTCCTACCTTCATAATCTCATCACGAACTCCAGATAAGAAAACAGCATCACACAAACATCCTAACTAGACTAAACCTCCTAAATCCTGTCCTAACTTTAGGATGAACCCCAACAGGGTCCTCACTTCTGTTTAAGGTCCGTTTCTATGGTTTTTAGGCAGCTGAGTCAGCAGCATAGTTCACTACCAGCATAATGAGCTCCATTTATCTCTACTGTAAAACGCTGCTTTCACTGTGAGATGATTTTCTTTTCTAACTCTGCGTTTTAAAGATCTCAGACGCTGCAGACTCGATCTCCACCGCCCCTCTGATCACCTTCGTGTGTTAATGTTGATGATGAAATATTACAGTGATGGTGGTGAATAATGAGGAGACGGAGCTGAACGTGTGTCTGTTTATTAGGAGGAGTAACGTTAGCGCGCTCGGCTAAAGCGTTTGGGAAATGGAGACTGAAACTGGGGAGCGGCAACGCTCTGATAAACAGCAGGGGGCGCTCTCACAGTATTCACTACTTACAGTTTATCACTCTTTAGGACCTTTTGGACCTTTTTTTACATCAGTAACAGCAGCTATCTGAATAACGATTTTTTTTATTGTGTGTTTACGTTTCAGCTGTGCGGATCATTATAACCTTTTTGGTGCTATACAGAACTATTTCACCATGCAAATGGTTCCTTGAGTGTTCATGGTTCCATATAGAACCATTTTCTTTACTAAAGAACACTTGAACAGTCATAATTTTTAAGAGTGTAGGACAAAACTGCGCTCTCTAAGTTGCGATTCTGATCTGAATCGCTGAGTCCTGATTGGTCGTCCTGTGCGTGTGTTCAGTTCCTCTCTGCAGTTTCTGCTATAGTGAATAATTTATCTGCTGCTATGTCTCATTACCTGCTGCCGGTCTCTCATTCTCGCAGCTCTGCTGGGCCGCTCGGCATCCAGAAGTGCCAAACCAGCATTATACACGCTGGCAGCTAGCCGGCACTCCGCGCTGTCAATCATCCTGTCTCCACGGAAACCCGCCACCAAAGCTGCCAGTCATTCTTACAAACCCTTCAGCATCTGACGCTAATTGACAGCCACTGCTACTCACTCACAGCCGAACGAGGGGTAACGTCTGCTGCGTTTGTTTTTCATCTTCCAGTCTCGGTTCCACCAGTTATGGGTTCTGCAGCGACAACCCGTTCCAGTTCAGTTCATAAGGGTCAGTAAAATCTCTCACGTTACACTGAGGCTGTCCAGTCGGATCTGATACGAATATCTCCCAGAGCAGGAATCACCCACGCTGGGCCAAGTGAAATCCTGACCAGACTGCTTCACTCATTCACTCACTCTATCCAGGATCTACACATGCATACATTACACACATTAATATTAATTATGCATTAATATTTGAAATCTACCCACCGGCCCAAGCACTTCATTCAGAAGCCTTTGATCATGCTGATAAGATAATAAATGCAGCAGATCTCGCTGTAAGGGCTGCAGCAGAGTGGCTGTTACACTGCAGAGTTCAGTGGAAGTGAAATTAAATCCTGTGAAAAAGTTTCCAAGACATTTAAAAAGATGTTTATCTGCAGCCAGTCGGACCAGCTGAACGTAAGGTCCACTGTAAGTTGGAGTGTAAAGTCCATCCTAACCCTCATGTTGAGATGTTGAGAGTAGTTAGTTTAAAACTAGCAACACACAGAATTTCAGTTGCACCACAGACACTCACGGTACATCTGAGCTAGTAGAGCGTAAAGTGATCGTAGATTAAAACTGTCACAGAACGACGTTTTCACTCTGCAGCCAATCAGTAACGACACAAACAGGAAACACTGCATGCAGTGAAATCTCTCTCTTTCGCGCTACGTTTACTTCGACTAAAGTGTGTCGGTTGTATTAGTTATAATTCAGAAAGACACTGTCCTTTACAGTACAGTTGTGTCTTCAAAGCTTCCGTCTCTCGTATGTGTGTTTATTCTGTTCTGCTGCTGGAATTTGTCCGATGTTCAAACTGCACAATGTTTTAATGACTTTAAACAGTCTGTAACGTTAGCAAAGCTGCGGCTAACGTAATCGCTGTTTGAATCTGCTGAATGACAGAAAGGTAATGTTAGCTCTGTTGGTATATTTTAATAATAATCAGTGTTATGTATTGTATGATAATAAGGACAGTGTCACACACAACCTGAGCTCTGATGGAGCTGCTCTTATTGCTCTGAACACCGTTGACTTGTGTACCTGAACAGAGTCGCCCACCAGGTTTTGGAACGACCCTGTAGAAAAACATCTCAGTTCTAAACACAAAGCAGGACTCAGGGCTCCGTTACTGTCTGTGTTGTGTAAATCAGGAGGTCTGGGATCTTTTCCATCTCCAGTCGATGAAAACAGGTGTATCTATCCTGCAGATCTGGTTGCCGCCACAAACCGAGACATATTTAGTTGTCTTGCATGTTTTCTCATCGATCAAATCGACCATCATTTTAACTGATTTTTACGGCTGAACTCGCACCTACAGGGTCTGTGTAACTTTTAGGGTATAACTTGAAGCTACATTGAAACTGTGTTACTTGGTGCAACCGGTTAAATTCTAGTAGCTTGTAAACTTGAATGTAGAGGCAGTTTACATTCAAACTAGGCTACGATTGAAGTTACGTTCAGCTGCTGGTCAGTAAGAGTTTATTTGCTCAGTAACCAAAATGTGCCTGTCTTGTATTTTTAAGAGGGTTAGCGTTTTTAAAGATGACAGTTAACAAATGCATTAATTAATATTACTTAGTGTGGAGATACTGAACACACCCACTGAGTATGCATACCCATAGTGCACTGCGTGAACAGTCAGAGCCGGGTGGAGCCGAAGTGTCGAATGAAGCGGTGGTCAGTGGAGTGGACTGTTCAGACGGTTTTAGCCAGCTGTAGTTAGTGAACTGGCTAACTTAGCTAGCAGGGGGTTAAGGTGATCTTATTCTGCAATACTGTTAACTTCAAGTTTTCATTTTGTGGACTTTTGCAGACAGTTTGGTCTGAAATATTAATAATAGTCATAAAGTGGTTCAAAAACAACTGTTTGTTTTATTCTGTGCAAACCCGGCCACTCACTCTCTGTGAGTTAGCACCAGCCTGCGAGCCAGAGTGGCTACTGTTAATGACAGTGAGTGTTGTTTGTTTACAGCTCTACAGTGAGAAACTGTACTGAGTGAAGCAGGTTAGACTGATCTAACACTGTACAGGGTTTAAAGACTGAATATTACCGTCTTACAGTTACATTTACTATTAATAAGGCTTTTGATATCTGATCAATCAGAAGAGTAAGTTAGCCTTAACAGCGCTGATGATATTTGTATTAATTGACATTGACATTGTTCCACTGTATGTTTCCTGTTTTCTACAGTAAACGGGTTTTGGGCAGCAGGAGGCGGGCATTACTGCTAGAGCGTGATGATTGGTTGGCGAGCAGAGCAGCTCATTGGCTGTTCGTGCTCACTGACGTCATAAACGTTCATGAGGCGTCGTTTAAACTCCTATAACTCGAGTTTAAAAGCTCTTAAAAATATAACAGCAGTGTTAAAATGTTTTATGCTGCTCTGTGTTCAGGAAATGAAGGAATTATTTTACATTAAAAATGTTTAAACATTTATAAACTATGATTTTACTCAAATGCTCCTTATCAACCCATTCATTTTGGACTCACTCAGGAGCGCCCTCTAGTGTTTGAGAAACCTGGAAGACATTGCAGAGTGGGAATTCTCCTCTCTACAAGTTCTCTGGTATTATCACAGGGGGCTGTTACCATGGTTACCACTTGGGTAACTATCACCGTCCCAACTCTGGAATGTCCAGTCTGTCTGGGAATGGTGTGCTTGTGTACAGCTTTCTGATCTATTTGCATACAATCATCGTTAAATGACGTTTTCTTTCCCCCTAGTAGGGTGAATGAATGGTGTGCAAAAGTTTGTGCACCCAGCTTATATCACATTTCCATTAGAAACACCCTATTAACCATGTGGGGTACCATAGAAACGACATAGCAACCCCCCAGCAACCACTTGGGATACCATAGCGACCATCCATGATGTCATAAATAGTTATCAGTATGTTAGCAAACACCTGAAACACCCTAGCAACCATCTGGCACCTGCTGAATCCTTTTATTTTTAATAAGAGAAGCGCTTTAATTAAGAACCGGGGCTGTGACATCACACAGGGGCAGTGGGGTCATTCTGTATAGGTGCTGGGGCAGGTGTGTGACACCGGGGGGGGCATTAACATCATACCGTGGGGGTCTCTGGTAGCTCTGGAACCCAGAAGGCCATGGCAGGAGTGCTGGACATTGCTGGACACAAGGCCTGCAGGGTGAGCGCCCACAGCTTCTCCCCCTCTGCCAGATCAGCTGCGGCCCACCAAGGCCTGCTGGAGCTACAGGACCAGAAAAAGAGGAAGAACAAAGGGATCAAACACGTCACATCATGAAAGATGGTCACTGACCACTCCTCGCATTCTGTACCTCTCAGTCAGACCAACACGATCCCCAACGCACGAGGCCGGGGTTCTGCTCCGAGTTTCCGTTCCACCTTAAATGGTGCAGCAGTTGCATTGTGCCGCCCGAGGCTGCTGCAGCATTTAAGGTGGAACGGAAAATTCGAAGCGACAGCCACACAAAACAGTGCTTTAGTGGATGAGAAGATGTTTCTAGAACACAAGAACCGCCAAAACCAGAACTCATCACAAATCGCTCTGACCCGCTGCTCGTGCTGGATGAGTCTCCGTCGGACTTGCGCAGACTCTCCCGCAGATCCCTGAGCACCGACTTCGTTTGGGGTTGGTTCTCCTCCGCCGCCGCTTTCTTTCTCTTTAGTCTGGACATCGCGGCTGTTTGTTCAGCTCAAACACCGCCGAATTTCAAAATTTCACCTCCTCCTTCACTTCCTGATCAGAGAACGAGGCGCAGTTCTGCGCGTCAATGCTGCGCAGCCTTAGTGCAGTCTGAGTGATGATTTAAACCTAATTCTGATTCGATGCACTTTGAGCACATTCAGTTCAGATTAAAAGCACTATAAAAACGAATTCACTTCAGATTAAATACAGACGAATTCACTTCAGATTAAATACAGACGAATTAGCTGAATTTATTACATTCATTTAGATTTTAGTTGTATTTAATAGATGTTTAGTTGGATGTTAGTTAACTACAGTTTGAGCATTTTTGACTCTCAGAATTAAATATTAACGACATTTTTCCTGGAACAGAACGTCCAAACCTAGAACCCTTTAAGAACCTTCATTTTTAAGAGTTTGGTTTAATTCTTTAATTCACTATTTTAACTGTTCACTCCTAAAAATAAAAGAGCCACAAAAAGTGATGGCACTATTGGTTCCCTACGCTTTTAAAAAAGAAGGTTCTTCATGGGTTCTTTAGTAAAGAAACATGGTTTCTACCATGAACCCTCAAAGAACCCTTTGCTTAAATGGTTCTTTAGATTGATGGAGAATGTGTTGTATATGGTTCTATAGCACCAAAATGGTTCTGCTGTGGTATACAAGCTCGACATCGTAACAACAGCAGAACCCTTTTATACAATAAAACACATTCTCCATCAATCTGAAGAACCATTTCACCATGCAGAGAACCATTTAGGCATGCAAAGGATTCTTTGAATGTACAGAACCATTTTCTTTACTAAAGCACCCTCAAATAACCATCTAAAGTGTACAGAACCATGTTTAAGAACCTTTGAAAACTCTTAAAGAACGTCCCCATCATGATACAGCTCTTGACTAATTTAGTGGAGGTTCTTTACACTTTAAAAATGTTCCTCACAGTCACACCTCTCTTATAAAATGGTTCCACTGAGAGGTCTTTTAGGGAACCGTAAGTGGATTAGTCCATCACCTCTGCAGAACCGCACTGAGGGGGTTACTGGAACAGAAAGATGGAAAAACAGAGTTTTTGTGAAAGGGTGGCACCGAAATGGAGCCGTCTGAGCGCTGAGAGCCGGAGAGGATGACCGAAGATCTGGACGCTCCAACGCTGGATGAGAATTCCAGAGTTAGTGCTGCTGACACTGAGCTTCCACAGCAGGAGAGCACAGCACAGGGCGAGAGACACAGACAGAGAGAGAGAGAGAGAGAGAGAGAGAGAGCGAGAGAGAGAGAGAGAGAGGGAGAGAGAGAGCGTCCAGGAAAGAACACTTATGTCATTAGGACGCATGTTGTGCTCCGTCGCCATGGTTACCAGATGGAAGATGTAAAAATAGCGGGGCACAAAACGCACTCCTGAAATCTGTAATGGCACCACGGCCGAGAGAGAGAGAGAGAGAAAGATAGAGTAGAACGAGAAAGAGAGAAAGAGTAAGAGTAGAGTAGAGAGAGAGAACAGAGAGGGGGAGAGATAAAGACAAAAAGAAAGAGAGATACAGAAAGAGAGAGAGATAGAGTAGAGCGAGAAAGAGAGAGAGATTCCGAAAGAGAGCAAGTAAAGTGAGAGTAGAAAGAGAGAAAGTAGAAAAGGAGAGAGTCGTGGGGAGGTTAGGGAACCAGTCTTGTGACCGGAAGGTCGCCGGTTTGATCCCCTGAGCCGACAGGACGTGACTGAGGTGCCCTTGAGCAAAACACCTAACCCCCAACTGCTCCCCGGGCGCTGTGGATAGGGCTGCCCACCACTCACTGCCCCCTAGTGTGTGTGTTCACTAGTGTGTATGTGGTGTTTCACTGCACAGATGGGTTAAAATGCGGAGGTGAAATTTCCCTGTTGTGGGACTAATAAGGGCCAAAAAAGAAAAGAGAGAGATACAGAAAGAGAGCGAGTAGAGGTAGAGTAGAGAAGAGAGAGAGGAGCTAGAGAGATAGAGAGATACAGAGAGAGATCAACAGATTGTGCTATTTTAAAATTATATTTTTTGTGAAAATTATTAAACTCTTCAAGAGTTCAAGAATAATTAATAATTCTCTGCTGTGGCTGTGAAAAGAGAGTGTGTTCTGTGTATCTGTGTTCTCTGTATCTCCGTGTTCTGTGTATCTGTGTTCTGTGTATCTCTGTGTTCTCTGTATCTCTGTGTTCTCTGTATCTCCGTGTTCTGTGTATCTCTGTGTTCTCTGTATCTCTGTGTTCTCTGTATCTCCGTGTTCTGTGTATCTCTGTGTTCTGTGTATCTCTGTGTTCTCTGTATCTCCGTGTTCTGTGTATCTCTGTGTTCTCTGTATCTCTGTGTTCTCTGTATCTCTGTGTTCTCTGTATCTCCGTGTTCTGTGTATCTGTGTTCTGTGTATCTCCGTGTTCTCTGTATCTCCGTGTTCTGTGTATCTGTGTTCTCTGTATCTCCGTGTTCTGTGTATCTCTGTGTTCTGTGTATCTCTGTGTTCTGTGTATCTCTGTGTTCTCTGTATCTCCGTGTTCTATGTATCTGTGTTCTGTGTATCTCCGTGTTCTCTGTATCTCCGTGTTCTCTGTATCTCTGTGTTCTCTGTATCTCTGTGATCTGTGTATCTCTGTGTTCTCTGTATCTCTTTGTTCTGTGTATCTCTGTGTTATCTGTGTTCTGTGTATCTGTGTTCTCTGTATCTCTCTGTTCTTTGTATCTCTTTGTTCTGTGTATCTCCGTGTTCTCTGTATCTCTGTGTTCTCTGTATCTCTGTGTTCTGTGTATCTCTGTGATCTGTGTATCTCTGTGTTCTCTGTATCTCTTTGTTCTGTGTATCTCTGTGTTCTCTGTATCTCTGTGTTCTCTGTATCTCTGTGTTCTGTGTATCTCTGTGATCTGTGTATCTCTGTGTTCTCTGTATCTCTTTGTTCTGTGTATCTCTGTGTTATCTGTGTTCTGTGTATCTGTGTTCTCTGTATCTCTGTGATCTGTGTATCTCTGTGTTCTCTGTATCTCTGTGTTCTCTGTATCTCTGTGTTCTCTGTATCTGTGTTGTCTGTATCGCTGTGTTCTGTGTATCTCTGTGTTCTCTGTATCTCTGTGTTCTGTGTGTCTCTGTGTTCTGTGTATCTGTGTTCTCTCTATCTCTTTGTTCTGTGTATCTCTGTGTTCTGTGTTCTCTGTATCTCTGTGTTCTCTGTATCTCTGTGTTCTGTGTATCTCTGTGTTCTGTGTTCTCTGTGTTCTGTGTATCTCTGTGTTCTCTGTATCTCTGTGTTCTCTGTATCTGTGTTCTGTGTATCTCTGTGTTCTCTGTATCTCTGTGTTCTGTCTCTCTTTGTTCTGTGTACCTCTGTGTTCTGTGTTCTGTGTTCTGTGTTCTCTGTGTTCTCTGTATCTCTGTGTTCTCTGTATCTCTGTGTTCTGTGTTCTCTGTGTTCTGTGTATCTGTGTTCTCTGTATCTCTGTGTTCTGTGTATATCTGTGTTCTCTGTATCTCCGTGTTCTCTGTATCTCCGTGTTCTCTGTATCTCTGTGTTCTGTGTATCTCTGTATCTCCGTGTTCTCTGTATCTCTGTGTTCTCTGTATCTCTTTGTTCTGTGTATCTCTGTGTTCTGTGTTCTCTGTGTTCTGTGTATCTCTGTGTTCTGTGTACCTCTGTTCTCTGTATCTCTGTGTTCTCTGTATCTCTGTGTTCTGTGTTCTCTGTATCTCTGTGTTCTCTGTATCTCTGTGTTCTGTGTTCTCTGTGTTTCTGTGTTCTGTGTATCTCTGTGTTCTCTGTATCTCTGTGTTCTGTGTATCTCTGTGTTCTGTGTTCTGTGTATCTCTGTGTTCTGTGTTCTCTGTGTTCTGTGTATCTCTGTGTTCTGTTTTCTCTGTATCTCTGTATCTCCGTGTTCTCTGTATCTCTGTGTTCTGTGTTCTCTGTATCTCTGTGTTCTCTGTATCTCTGTGTTCTCTGTATCTCTGTGTTCTCTGTGTTCTCTGTATCTCTGTGTTTTGTGTTCTCTGTGTTCTGTGTATCTCTGTGTTCTGTGTATGTCCGTGTTCTCTGTATCTCTGTGTTCTCTGTATCTCTGTGTTCTCTGTATCTCTGTGTTATCTGTGTTCTGTGTATCTCTGTGTTCTGTGTTCTCTGTGTTCTGTGTATCTCTGTGTTCTGTGTTCTCTGTGTTCTGTGTATCTCTGTGTTCTGTGTATCTCTGTGTTCTGTGTTCTCTGTGTTCTGTGTTTTCTGTGTTCTGTGTATCTCTGTGTTCTGTGTTCTCTGTGTTCTGTGTATCTCCGTGTTCTGTGTTCTCTGTGTTCTGTGTATCTCTGTGTTCTCTGTGTTCTGTGTATCTCTGTATCTCTGTGTTCTGTGTATCTCTGTGTTCTCTGCTCTGAGGAACGCTCAGTGGAGCAGTGGATGTTTTGTGATTCTGTGTGAGTGAAATGAGCTGAATGGACTAAAGGAGTGAATAAAGTCTGCAGTGGTGCTGAGAGGAGTGTGTAACTGACTGTGTGTGTGTGTGTGTGTGTGTGTGTGTGTGTGTTTGTGTGTGTGTGTGTGTGTGTGTGTGTGTGTGTGTGTGTGTGTTCTGAAGCAGTGAGAGTGCTTTGGTTTGGCATGAGTGTCTCCTTCTCTAAAAAACCATGACGCAAATCCCCCCAAAAAAAGAGTTCTGGCTGAAAAGCGGCGTCTGGAGAGAATCCGTCTCTTCCCACACGGAGCGGAGAGTCAGGAGAACCGAATAGCACAGAACAGCACAGACCTGTAACAAAGAACTGAAACAGCATGTCTAAGCTTTAAAAAGCTGCTTTAATGTATATTGTAAACTGAGAGAAAGTAACAGATTATTGTTCTGTGAACTTACTATACAATCAAAAACAACCATCATTACTATTTTATATGTCTTTACAATCAAACTGGCTGTTTCTGTTACTGCACCTTTAAGACTGATATATGTAAATGAGCTCTGTTCTGATTGGATGTCCTTTGTACCTCACACAAAATTATTTTTCTCTTTACAACTTCAGCATGAATGGATAAGGCTCTAGGCTGCTGTAGGCTGAATGGGTGGGGCTAAACTGCTGTAGGCTGAATGGGCGGGGCTAAACTGCTGTAGGCTGAATGGGCGGGGCTAAACCTACTGCAGGCTGAATGGGCGGGGCTAAACTACTGTAGGCTGAACGGGTGGGGCTAAACTGCTGTAGGGTGAATGGGCGGGGCTAAACTACTGTAGGCTGAACGGGTGGGGCTAAACTGCTGTAGACTGAATGGGCGGGGCTAAACAGCTATCGGTTGAATAAGCAGATATTTGGAAATGCATTAATTCTGTGACATCATATAATATATATATATCACAAAATTCTCTAATCTAAGAACCATTTCACCATGCAGAGAACCCTGTAATCTTGCAAATGGCCCTATATAGAACTATTGATCTTTAACCATTGCCTTTCCAAAAGAACCCTTGACGAACTAAGTCAGATTTAGTGATGCAGTAAGAAAACACAAGGCATCACTTTTATGTCGTTTTGCTGTTTTATTCTTTGTTTCATTAGCAGTTTGTTCCCCAGTCACATCTGTGGTTCTTACCCAGCCATTCCATTCTCACAGTTCTAGCTACAGCCCTGTTCTTCAGAGGGGACAATAGGAGGCGAAGCTTTTGAAGACTGTTAAAGACTGTCCTGGACACATTAGTGTTCTCCTGCTCTAACACACCTGAATGATCCCATCAGCTCTTCATCAACCCGTCATCAGGCTGAAACAGAGATGCTGCAGCAGGAGGATCACCGGACTGGGCTGGACGGCAGCTCCACTCCTCAAACAGCATGTTCAAGAGGAGAGCGGCCAGGGTGAGTGGAGCTGCGGGGCTGAGGGGGGGCGGTGGGCGGTGGGGGGGTTGGTGATGGTGATGATGCCGGGGTGGTAGAGCGCTGAGTGATGCTGAAAAAGTGGAGTGTAGATGTTTGGAGTGGTCAGTAATGCTGGGGCAGTAGAGTGTATGGGCATCATTACAGTGATGATGATGGAGATGATGGTGATGATGATGCCGGAGTAGTAGAGTACTGGATGATGTTGGGGGAAAGTGGGAAGATGCTGAGCAAAGTAGTGATGATGATGATACTTGGAGCGGTGGAATGGTCAGTGATGCTGGGGCAGTGGAGTGGTCAGTGATGCTGGGACAGTGGAGTGGTCAGTGATGCTAGGACAGTGGAGTGGTCAGTGATGCTGGGGCAGTGGAGTGGTCAGTGATGCTGGGACAGTGGAGTGGTCAGTGATGCTAGGACAGTGGAGTGGTCAGTGATGCTGGGGCAGTAGAATTTGTTCATGAGTGTGATGATGATGGTGAGAGTGACAGTTATGATAGTAACGACGATGATGCTGGTAATAATGATAATGAGTATGATGACGGTAAGTGTGATGATTGAGATGAGGATGATGGTGATATGATGGTGATAATGGTGATAAGAATGGTGATGACAGTGATGATGAGAATGGTTATGATAAAAATGGTGAGAATGATGGTGATGATAATGAAAGAGATAAGGATGGTGATGATTTTGAGGATCGTCTCCACCGTTAAGAACGTTAGATCTGCTCTTCTGTTAGAAACATCAGCCGTGCTGCTCCACATCTCAGCCCAGCCAGAGTCAGAGGCAGATCCAGGCCAGTGTGCACTGCGGTAACCCTCCTCCGCTGCTAGAGGGCGCTGACGCAACACTTTCCAGCCTCCTGGCACTGCAGGTTGGATGAGGACCAAAGAGAATTATTGATAAAAGAACTGCATGGAGGTGATACATCCTAAATCATTATGAAGGCCTTGATCAGCAGCGTGGAGTCAAAGACTTTCAGCACTGAATAAATACCGAATCTGGAGCTGCAGCGCCGTAAACTACAGCACTGAATATGCAAATAAGTTTTATATAAGCAATTTAATGGCTACGATTATAAGACAGATTATCTGTGTATCAGAAACAGAGCATTTCAGTTTAATTCAGTTTAATTCAGTCTGTTTGTGTTGTACTGTAAGGTACAAAGTTCAGAAACATTAAAGAATAATAAAAATACAAGTCTGTAAACGATCATTCAGTCGTTCAAACCTGTTTTTGGTTTCTAGATAAACTGACCGAGTCAGAACTGTTCACAGTGGTGGTGATAGGAACCAGACGTCCACCTCTAAAAGCTCCCTCACAGAAAGTTCCTACATGAAATGGTTATGAATTCACTGCCTGATGACTGAGACACTGTTTTATGATAGTTTAGAGAACTTAAACTCCATTCATGGTGGAGGGAGACATGCAGGGCGCTGTGAGGCAAAATAGTCCCCAAAGAAAACTTATTATTTCAGATTTTCCACTATTTTCCATCATCAACATTCCATATAAACTCAGAAGACTCGTGTAGGTTCACTGGTGGTTCTGGATAGTAAATAAAATGTCTATATTTGTGTTGTAGTCATGGCGACCCCTGGTTCCTATCACCACCACTGTAAAGACATCTGAACCATTTCACACCAAACCACTCTGAACCTCTCTGATTACACCTCACACACTGAATTATGGGGGAATGTGAAAATGTTGAGAATTTGATGGAGTTCTGTTTGAATGAATAAGTGCTTGGACCCCTAATAATAAGGGTTATATTAAAGAGCCCATATTGAGGAAAACTGAACTTTCTGTGCTTTTTAATTTTTAGTAAGAGAGGCTGATGTAGTCTGTAAACACTGTTTAGGTTTCAAAATTAAGTCCATATATGCAAATTAAGCTTCTCCTTTTTAAATGACTTTTTTGTGATGTCACACATTTCCACCTCTTCAGGGTACAGCAGTTAAGCCCCGCCCACTCCCCCCTGAACCAGGCTGCTTTTTGAATGAGGAAGCCAGTAAGAATAGAGCTCATTTACATATCTCAGTCTTAAAGGGCCGGTATCGGGGAAACACATTTTCCCCACTTTCCTGAAATATGAATTTGATGTTGTTTGCAAACATTGTTAGAGCTTTGAAATGAAGTTTCCTCCTCAGCGCATACAGCATGTCTGAAAATATAAAAAGTTTTTCAATTACTATTTTGGTGTGATGTCACAAAAACAAACATACATACTACTACTTACAGTACACTCTTAAAAAGATAGTTCTTCAAGCGTTCTAGCAAAGACAGTGGTTCTAGATAGGACCAAAGGGTTCTTCTACAGTATACAAGCTTGACATAACTATGGCAGAACCCCTTTTGGTGCTATACAGAACCCTATAGAACACATTCTCCATCAATCTGAAGAACCATTTCACCATGCAGAGAACCATGCAAAGTTCATGGCTCAATATAGAACCACTGTCTTTACTAAAGAACCCTTGAAGAGCCAAGAATGTAGTTCAGCCCCGCCCGCTCCTGCTCAAGCATTCCTGCCGAGTTGCTTTTTTTGAATGTGGCAGCCAATCAGCACAGAGCTCATTTGCATATGTCTTAAAGGTACAGTAACTTAACTGGCCTGTTTTATTCTGAGAGAGAGAGAGAGAGAGAGAGAGAGAGAGCGCACACAAACCTACCTTAACGTCATAAGTAGGAGAAGATATAAAGCGCAGAAAAGCAGGGGTATGTGCTCTTTAACGCGTGCTGCATTTAAGTGCTCGCTGTGCTGTGGAGTCTGAGGAGCGCGAGGAAACCCGAGAGCCAAACTCCACCCAGCTTTACTGGGGCAGCGCTGAGCAGCAGGGGGAGTGGAGTCGCGCGCCCGGAAGAGCCACACTCACATTCTTTGGCCGGGATTCAGAGAGAGAGAGAGAGAGAGAGTGGGAGGAGTGAGCGAGCCTGAATCGCAGTGAGAGAGCGAGGGAGAGACGGAGAGAGAGAGACGGAGAGAGAGGCAGAGAGAGAGAGAGAGAGAGAGAGAGAGAGAGAGAGAGAGAGAGTCTAAAGCAGACTGCAAGTTGCCTGCTCGTGTTTTTCGAGCGCGCGACGCCGGAGGAGGAGCAGCAGCAGCGCGAGCTCCACACTGCGAGACTTTTTTCTTCGAGTGTGAGTGTGTGTGTGTGTGGTTAAGTGTGTGTGTGGGTGAGTGTGTGTGAGGCGGCGGCGGCTATGGGCGCACGGGAACGCGCAGCTGACGGGGGCGCGCCCGGGCTGCGCTCGCTTTGACCAGCGACGAAGGAACGGAGCGGAGCGCGCGACAAACAAACCAGCAAGCAGGAACGCTTCGTATGGATGTGTATCTGCGCGTGAGTGCGTGTGTGTGCGGTGCATGAGTGAGTGAGTGAGAGGGAGAGAGTGAGTGCGCGTGCTTGCGGGCGCCGTACGGGACTCTTTTTGGAGTTTTTTTCTTGTTTCTTCTTCTTGTTTTTTCACTATTATAATTTTTGTGTGCGCGCGCGCGAGGCGACACCCCCGTGGTGAGGAATAGGAAAGAATGGAGAGCGGCGCGCGGCAGATCTTCCAGCCTCACGCGCGCCTGCAGCAGACCCTCAGGCAGTTTCACCTGAGCTCCATGAGCTCGCTGGGTGGTCCCGCGCGCTGGCAGCACCACCACCACCACCAAGCCTACCGGAAGGACCTGGCGGATTTAACTGAGATCAGCGACCGGGACGCGGAGATCCGGGTCGCGCGCCTGCCCGTGGCCCCCGTGGCGCCCTGCCCGCTCCTGGTGCCCTCCGACCGCTCGACGGAGCGCTGCGAAACGGTGCTGGAGCGCGAGACCATCTCGTGCTTCGTGGTGGGCGGGGAGAAGCGCCTGTGCCTGCCGCAGATCCTCAACACGGTGCTGCGCGAGTTCACGCTGCAGCAGATCAACGCGGTTTGCGACGAGCTGCACATCTACTGCAGCCGCTGCACGGCGGAGCAGCTCGAGATCCTCAAGGTGGTGGGCGTGCTGCCCTTCTCCGCACCCTCGTGCGGCCTCATCACCAAGACGGACGCGGAGCGGCTGTGCAACGCGCTCGTGCACGGTACAGGCACCGGCACGGGCGGCGGCGGCCGCGCGCCCCGCTACGCCAAGCTGGAGGAGAGCGGCATCAAGGTGTACCACGAGTGCTTCGGCCGGTGCAGGGGCGTCCTGCTGCCCGAGCTCTACACGAGCCCCGAGGCGCCCTGCATCCAGTGCGCGGACTGCGGCGTGCTCCTCGCGCCGCGCAGGTTCGTGGCGCACGCGCACGGCGCGCCGGAGAACCGCACGTGCCACTGGGGCTTCGACTCGGAAAACTGGCGCGCCTACGTGCTGCTGCGCGCGGGGGAGTACGCGGGGAAGGCGCGGGTGGAGGGAGCGGAGCAGGAGGAGGAGAGGGAGCGGATGGAGACGCTGCTGGAGGAGGTGAAGGAGAGGTTCGACTACACGGGCAGGTTCAAGAGGAGAGCGGCCAGGGTGAGTGGAGCTGCGGGGCTGAGGGGGCGGTGGGCGGTGGGGGGGTTGGTGATGGTGATGATGCCGGGGTGGTAGAGCGCTGAGTGATGCTGAAAAAGTGGAGTGTAGATGTTTGGAGTGGTCAGTAATGCTGGGGCAGTAGAGTGTATGGGCATCATTACAGTGATGATGATGGAGATGATGGTGATGATGATGCCGGAGTAGTAGAGTACTGGATGATGTTGGGGGAAAGTGGGAAGATGCTGAGCAAAGTAGTGATGATGATGATACTTGGAGCGGTGGAATGGTCAGTGATGCTGGGGCAGTGGAGTGGTCAGTGATGCTGGGGCAGTGGAGTGGTCAGTGATGCTGGGACAGTGGCGTGGTCAGTGATGCTAGGACAGTGGAGTGGTCAGTGATGCTGGGGCAGTAGAATTTGTTCATGAGTGTGATGATGATGGTGAGAGTGACAGTTATGATAGTAACGATGATGATGCTGGTAATAATGATAATGAGTATGATGACGGTAAGTGTGATGATTGAGATGAGGATGATGGTGATAATGGTGATAAGAATGGTGATGACAGTGATGATGAGAATGGTTATGATAAAAATGGTGAGAATGATGGTGATGATAATGAAAGAGATAAGGATGGTGATGATTTTGAGGATGGTGATTAATTGCAATGACGGTGATGATAATATTGATGTAGATGTGATGATTGTGATGACGATGATCATAATAGTGGTGGTGATGATGTTGCTGATGGTGATGATGAGGATTTGTAATGACAATGATGGTGATGAGAATGATGATGATGTGATGATGGTGATAACTGTAATGATGGAGATGATAAAGTTGATGTTGATGGTTAATGACGATGATCATAATAGTGGTGGTGATGATAAGAATGACGAGAATGGTGGTGATTACGATGAAGATGATGGTGATGGTAATAATTGACAGCAATGATAATTGTAATGATGATCATAATAGTTGATGATGGTGATGATAAGTATGGTAATGGTGACAGTTGTAATGATGGCGATGATGATATTGATGGTGAAGATTGCAATAATGATGATCATAACAGTGGTGGTGATGATGGTAATGATGGTGAAGACGATGGTGGTGATGATGAGAATGATGATGTGATGATGGTGATTGTAATGATGATGATTATAGTAGTGGTGTTGATGATGGTGATGATGGTGATGGTGATGACGGTAATGCTAGGGGCAGTAAATTGTGGCTGTTGTCCTGGAGGGTCAGTGTCCAGCGGTTTGGTGATGCTGTAACTGGTTCAGCTCTGATTGGTACTAATCTGCCTTATAAAGCCTTACAGTCAGTCTGTGTATGAACTCTGCTGGTTTACGCGCTCATACAGGCTTTATAACGATCTGATTGTCTGATGGAGTGTGTAGAGTGTGGAGTGTGTAGAGTGTGTAGAGTGTGTAGAGTGTGGAGTGTGTAGAGTGTGTAGAGTGTGGAGTGTGTAGAGTGAGGAGTGTGTAGAGTGTGTAGAGTGTGGAGTGTGTAGAGTGTGTAGAGTGTAGAGTGTGTAGAGTGTGTAGAGTGTGGAGTGTGTGGAGTGTGTAGAGTGTGTAGAGTGTGGAGTGTGTAGAGTGTGTAGAGTGTGGAGTGTGTAGAGTGTGGAGTGTGTAGAGTGTGTAGAGTGTGGAGTGTGTAGAGTGTGTAGAGTGTGTAGAGTGTGTAGAGTGTGGAGTGTGTAGAGTGTGTAGAGCTCCAGTGGAAGGCAGTGAGGCTGAGCTGAGCTGCTAGTCGTGGTGAGTAAGTCTTGTAGAGGAGTTCTAATCCTAAACTGCCCATTGCGGTGTTTTTGGCCTCGCTGGCCTGCCGTAGCGTGTCAGTCGTCCTCCTGAGAGCAGTGCCAGTCTGACTCCTCTCAGATGGGTCAGATTGATTTCCACTCAGAGGCTATCTCCAATCTGACCGCCAGTTCAAATGTTACAACCTGATATCACCGGGTCAAACGCAGTGCGCGTAGAGAGGCTGATAGCGCGGCACCCTTTAACCCGAATTACACTCAGTCCAGCTATTAGACTCACGCTGGCACCTCAAAAGTTTGGGGACAGCTGGCTTTTTCCAAAACGTTTTCAGTGTAAATGGTTGAAGGCGTGGAGGAGTTTCAGCACAGCTTTTAACTGTGGTTTGGAGGAGAAACTGTCAGCTGACTGACTTCATTATTAAATAAAAGTAAAAACCCAACAGTGCTCAGAAAGAAGGGAAGGTGTCCTCAAACTTCTGAGGGATGAAGCAGAACAAAAGCCCAGTGAAAGTGTTTTTGCGGGGGATTTGGTGGGGGGTTGGGCTGTAATGGCCAACGGGGGGTTGCGGGTGGCCGGGGGGCGGGGGCAGGGCAGACTACAGCTTAAACCGCATTTCACACAATGACCCTAATTGACCACCAACACAACACCTCAGGGTTATAAAGCTGTAATGTGTGCGTTTTAGCTGGTTTCGGACGCCTCCTGCGTGTCCTGACCTCACTGTGATGGGCTGAAGGTAAAGCTAAACACAAACAAACAAACAAACCAACAGTTATTTAGGCTAATGAGCCACTCTGCCTGCACTGACCCTCACGTCCGACTGCGCCTTCGCTTCCTCATTGTTTAGCCCCATTTAGACTCTGTGAAATAATAATAACAATAACTGACCTAATTAGAGCTCATTGATACTAATATAACTCTGCATTTCAGATCCCTAAATGACCACCATCACTGCATTAAACATTCCGAGTATGAAAATATGTTGAATATTTCTGTATATTTATTTTCAGCAGCATTGAAATCAAAAGCCATGAAAGTCGTAGAGATGATTAAACATCATTAAGTGTGTTTCTGAGCTTAAAATCTCAGGTTTATTTCTTACTAAGGTTTATTATCAGTAACTACAGGGACTTCAGTGCAAACTGGTTGAGCTATTCTTCGATTATAGACGTGTAAAATAAAACTTTGGGTTCTCCGGTGGGCGCTGGACATTTAAGAGGGTCTTCAGGACCCCAAAGCGAGCAGGAGAGGACTTTGAGGAGTCTCTGTAGGTGCTCTGTGTTTGGGAAATGTTGGAGATGTGAGGTTATCTCACTGCTTTGTGCTCCTGAGTGAGTTCTAAGGGGGTTAATAATGGAGCACTTAGCACCACTTAGTCCACCAGCGGGGCTGAACTGGGTTCCACTGTTATCTCCTGAACTCTTATCAGTAGATTATTCCTGATTTACAGAGTGTGAGTGATCATCTGAAGCTCATCACTCAGCTCAGCCTCTCTGAGTTTATGTGTAAATTCACTCTAATCTCTGCTTAAATGGTCACCCAGAGGAGGTGGGGCGAACCATTTAAGCACACTTAAAACTGTGCTTAAATGGTTCTCTGCATGATGAAATGGTTCTTCAGACTGATGGAGAACGTGTTGGTTCTATATAGCACCAAAAAGGGCCCTGCTGAAAAAAACAGAACCCATTAGGACTGTTGGTCTTAGAACCATTGTCTTTACTAGAACCCTTGAAAAATCGTCTTTTTCTAAGAGTGTCGTACCAAACCCAGAACCCACCCAAAGGCCACGCCCACTGTATCCTCTTGTTGTGATGTCAGCACAAACCGATCGCTTGATTTCAATACCGATTCTTTTTTTAATTACAGACGGAAAGTGGGCGTGGCTTACATCAGGACTGAAAACGCTGACGGTGGGTGTGTTTACTGACTGTAACAGAATGTAAGTCAGACAGCCAATCAGCATGCAGCGTTTCAGAACAGGCCCGTCTGTTAGCCGCCGGACTCTGAGCTCTGAGGACTTGTGTTTGGGGGGGGTCACAGGATTAGAGTGGGTTTGGTGGGGGGCAGTGCTTCCATTCTCCTCAGGGTATAACTGATAAGACCCCTGACCCCCTCACCCCGCCCCCCCCGGGCCCCGCCTCCTCTGGGTGATTTGCATTAACTGTTCCAGCTGAAAAGAGAAAAGAGCTGATGAAGCAGAGTGTGTGTGTGTGTGTGTGTGTGTGTGTGTGTGTGTGTGTGTGTGGAAACAGAATATGATCCAAAGAGACACTCACACACACACACACACACTCACACACACACACAGTCTTCCTTCCTGCTACTTACACTATATGTATATTTATAGAGAGAGTGAGGGTGAGAGAGTATATGTATATATGAATTTCAGGAATTTTCTTTTGTTTCATACAGACAAGCAGACAGAAAGACAGACAGGTAGATAGACAGACAGACAGATAGACAGAGAGATAGACAGACATATAGACAGATTTACAGCTTGATAGCTAGAAATAGATAGATAGATACACAGATAGACAGAAAGACAAATAGACAGACAGCTATACAGATAGACATATATGCAGACAGTTATACAGACTGATAGAAAGACAGACAGAGGGACAGACAGACAGCCAGACAGAAAAACAGACAGACAGATTGATAGACAGACATAAAGACACACAATAGACAGACAGACAAATATACAGACAGGAAAGACAGACAGACACATAGACAGACAGACAGAGAGACAGACATATAGACAGATGTACAGACAGATCATTTGGCTAGTTTTGGCGAATAATGCGTAAAACAGTGCCGGTGAAATAATCAGTTTATCAGCTATTAGAGATGATTTCACTGTTAGGATATTATATTTTTACAGTTCAGCTGTGAGTAATTTATCAGATTTATAGAATATTAATAAGTGTGTTTCTGGTCTGTATTTCAGTCTTCATGTGTAATAAGCATGTGTGTATGTGAGTGAGTGAGTGATTGTGTGTGTGTGTGTGTGAATGTGTGTGTGAGAGAGCTCTGGTGTGTGTGTGAGTGGGTGAATGAGTGTGTGTGAGAGCTGTGGTGTGTGTGTGCTGAGTTATTTGTGGAGGGTGCTGAGATGTTCCTCATGTGTGAAAGTCAGTCTGGCGGTTCTCTGGGTGGGGTGAAGGAACTTCCTCTTTTACTGAAGGAAGGTCACAGACGCGGCTGTGTTGTTACTCAACCCTCTCTCTCTC